CAGAGTCTTCACCGGCATCTCTGTACCTCGCTCGCGCGGGGGATTGGGCCACGAGGGTGCTCCGCCGAGTAAAACCTTGCCAGAGGCATCGAGAACCTGCACCTGCCAAAGCCAGGAGCCAAAATAATGCTCAAAAAAGTTCCAATAGTAATAGTAGGCAGTCACCCCTGTCAGACAAGATACGGTGCCGGGCTCCTTCATCTCGAAGGTCTTGTCATGAGACCCGTACCTGGTTCTGGCTGTATGGTTGACGTGTGTCACTCTGGTCATACTCTTCCGAACTCGAACCAGCAGGTCACTCCTCTGCCTTTTGGGCCATCAGTCCAACGTTTGGCACCTTCGCATCCGAGCTGATCGCACGGAGAATGAGAGCAGAGAGCACATCCTCAAGCCCTGTGTACCACGCTAGCCGAGATGCCGTGCCCGTAGTGCTGGGGTTGAAAGCCGCGTCTTTCTTGCAAATCTCCTGAGTTTCCAAGCAAAGCTTTTAAGGATATCTGAACTCGAAACGATCCGAGCAACTTCATCATGAACATCTATGGCCATGCCAATAAATCACGGCACCTGTACTTCTTCTGCTCCGAGGCCTCGGGCGTCCTGCGCAGCGGCGGGCTGGTGTGATCTGCCTTGCTGCTGCAAATCACTCAAAGGCTGGCTCTGCAAGCTCATCGATGTGTAGCGTCAGTTGCCGTCGTTGTACACATGGAAGCTAACCGCGGAGCCTGATGCAATTGGTCCCGTCACATCCTGACAAGCTGAGAGACACGCCAACCGTTTACATTGCTGAAACAAGCTACAGCTCCGTTCCATCCTGTGCTTGTTACTAGGCCGGCCTTCTTGTTCACATAGATTTTGCCGGGAATGCAGCACTTCAGCCAACCAAAGGTTCCCTCCAAGGCATGCTCAACTGGCTGGAGCTCAAGCGTGAGGGCATGAGGGTCCGGGGTGGTCTGTGAGTCTACAGACGGCGTGCCGGTAGCCACAAAAAAAAAGCTGGAAGAACCCCCCTGCAAACCTCTTGAAAACAAAGGAGAAGCGTGCGGGCAAAAAAACCGTATTGAACTACCTAGACCCTAAACCCTAAACCCTAAACCCTTAAAACTCCTAAATTTCCTTTGTAGGTCTACATGTCTGATCGAAATATGTCTGTGTGCTTTTCGGTTATTAAAAACCCTAGCACAGAAGTACAAAACAAAGACGATCAAAAGACTGTGTTAGAAACATGGAAAAAACCAACATTTCTTCTAATCCCGTGTTTTCCGAAAAAGCTGTTCTCAGGATGTTCATTTCCGATCGAAATAAACCAAGTTTTGCCGCTCGGTTTTATAATGGTTTCCGAACCGCGGAAAAGTTTGCATGCTTCGGAAGTCTTTGCTCCGCAGGACAGAACGCGTGTATCCATGTTTTCGTTTTTTTGGTTTATGTGTGTGTGTGTGTGCATGCA